ATATATAATATATATCTATATGTGTGTGTCAGTGTTTTTAAGGTGCTTTTCAATGACCAGCAGGCGATGTCCTTTACTTTTACTTTACATCGATCAAAGATTACAAATATATGGGTCAGCCAACTGAGCTGTTCTTGGCAAATCCGTCGACGGACGGGAAGTCCTCTCTTCAAAACATCCTGTCCGTCGACGTTATGCAGGGGATAAGATTCCTCATCTGGGATGGATTGTATATCATGCCTTCGGTCTCTCCTGTTATATACCTGTACAGCCCGTGAACAATTATCTCTATTTTTGAACCAGGCCTTTACCAACCACCATCATCCATCACCCACTGTTACAGGTAGTGGGATAGACCCAAACGATGCCATTGTTTTGGCAAGAGGGCCACGAGGGTCATTGCCATGCTCATGGCTACACCAGCCTGCTCAGCCTGATTCTTTCGAAGGGGTCCCTGAAAACCTCGGTCTCAGGCAATTTTGGATCCGAACAAACTTGCCTACCAGGGGCCCCACAAACCATGAAAAAAACTATAAAGTTTTCCCTAGCAAAAATCATGCAATGACTTTTGTATGTGAAAACTCGTGAAAACCTTTGTTTGTTTCATGGTTTTGAGGGCTCCTGGTAGGTCTCAGATATGTGTTTGGTTGGCATTTTTGGCTGTTCCGGACGTGCACTTTGCGAAAACCTGACTAAAACCCTTGTGACCTTGTGTCCATTCCAATCAGTTATATCACCTTCCTTTCAAAAAGCCAAGCTTTGACCCGACTTCGCGCCGTCCGTTGGGGCGCAGGTACTTCCTCTCGAACTGGGTGCATTTCGTGCACAGCCCCAACACCAACGTGGGCAGCATGTTCGCCCTGGCCAGCTGCGCGGAGCATTCCTTCCAGAACGCGGGCAGCTGGGTGGAGTGGCGCCTTCCACTCTTCGCGGTCAAGCTGTTGGCAGTGAGGTTCCGAAAGGAAGTCGGACGCTGGGAGTTGCGTAGCGGGAGTTGCGTAGCGTAGCGTGTTTATTTTAGGGAGGATTTTTGATAATTTAAAGATCTTGAACTCCTCCCCCTCCCCAAAAACAAATGGAATTGAGAATGCTCATCATATGGAAGGTTTGGATGAATCAAGAGTCTTATAAGGAGGAGTTTGGTCGATGGGGGAAGAGTGGAGGGGTTTTCCAGGGACACCACTACTGTAGCGGGAAGAACATGGTATGGAAGAGCAGAAGGCTTGGGTGTACTAGTGGTTGGGAGTAGCAAGGCTGGAGATTTGGAGGGCTTGCTGCCATGCCACGGGGTGTCTACCACTAGAGGCCCTCGGTCAAGGGGAGCCGAGTGGGTAGTTTTGGGGTTTTGAGCCGTGCCACTTGGAAGGGGGAAAAGGAGCAAAGAGTTGGGTGAAGTCCAAAGTAAGTATCTTCTTCAAGGTCACGAGCTGCTTGTGACTCAGAAGAGGGATGATCTAAAGCAAGTCGTTGTGTCCAAGGATGCTTTGGATTGGTCCTAGCTACTTTCCCGCACTGACACTATATGTGTGATACGGTTGAGGTTTTGCTTGGACTGCTATAGTGATTTTATGTTGCAACTAATTTAGACAGATCTCGCTCTATTCCGCCACTTTGGGGGCACCAGGGGGGTGAGCTCCGCTGCAGTCGACCACCGCTCCAGTCGAACTCCGACCGGAGGGGGTCTCCGCATCCGCGCCTACCCGTCTTCGCGGTCAGGAAAGGACATCGACCTCACCGTGTCCTGCGCCAATGATAGCTCCGGTTGGCAGCAGGTCCTCTCCTCCAAGGATCGTCCCATCAAGGCGACAAACCCTTTGGGGCAGGCGACGGTTGGTGGTTCAACGACAGGGGGATCTCTGGTTGACACCGGGTCAAATGAACAGATTTCTATATATAAAGGATGTCAACCTACCGTGGTCTGGTGAAGGATATGGAGTTCCGCACGGTCATGTGTAATCATATGATACTCGTATGTTGTGTATGTGCAGATTTGATGAGGCATAGTTTTTGGGGTGTGGCTTTTTGGCAGACGAGAGACGAGAGAAAGGAACTGAAGAACTAAATGGCAACCTACAGGTCAGGAATGGACCTCATTTGACTGGAGATGGTCATACGAAAACACTACTCAAGGAGATCAAAAGATCAGGTTTTACTTTCCCTAGGGATCCACATACCTTCTCAGAAGGTACGACTGGGCCCTCCAAGCCTACTTAAATAGTCTCCAATCACCGTACCTGAGAAGGTACGACTGGATCCCCAGGGTTTGTCAGACTGGGACTTCTAGGGGTGAGAGTGGTGTATGATGATGTGAATACCACGTTGCAGTTGGTTGGATGAGATGGGTTCTTGTCAGGTGGCCCATGAGTGGCCCAAGCGTGCAGGGGACATGCACGGTGTAAATGGGTGAGCTGCCCAGATGAATATACCCCAGGCAAGACCGGTGAGCCCCATTGACCCCAGACATGAATACCCCCAAATGGGAGGGTTTCACGCCATGCCAGTCCTAGCAAATGTGTCCTTATTTAAAGACATCGAATCTGTACTCATTTGGTTCTGATGGTGGGATGGGCTTTCATTGTCAAACACCGTCCGCGGATGCGTCCGCGGATGCGCGTCCGCAGCTAGCGCTTCACGCCCCGGGCGCAGGCGCAGGAGGTCGTGCCAAGCAGGTGCGAGTTCCTGGTGAAGCGATTCAAGGTGGAAATCTGCCCTTTGGCGACAGACGGACCGTTGATTCATTGGGTTTATAAGAGCTACCAGGGGCCCCACATGGCCCATCAAACACCTAGTTTTCCCGAGCAAAAAACGTTGTTTTTGTATATGAACACCTTTGTTTTTCATGGTTTGGTTCGGGCCCCTGGTACTTGTTACTTGTTACCCAGCTGACCCATGGTGGCGCAGTCCTATGGCCTACATGTTTGGTGTGTTTCTTTCTTGGTTTCATTTGTGGACTGGACTTGTTCAATTTCAAAGACTTGTCAAAGGATTAAGGATTGGGTAATTAGTGGATTCCAGGAGCCCTCAAAACCATTAAAAAAAAACATTGGAAAAAAACAAAGACATTCATATTCAAAAACCATGTTTGTTGCTAGGGAAAACTATAGGTTGTTCATGGTTTGTGGGACCCCTGGTTGGGTATGGTGAGTGGATTCGAATGCCTTCTAGATTCGGTTTCCGGTGTTTTGACAGCTCGTCAAACGTCGATCTGCTGTGATTCTGGGACCTCAGTCGCCAGTGCTTCATGCTTTTGGAAAGTCCACACACCTTAGGTGCCACAGTTCTGAATACTTTAAGGCTCTTGAACTCTCGCGTTCGGTGAGAACAAACACCATCAAAACCGCCGGCCGCCAGCCGGGGCCAAACGCACACCAGCCACCCTAAGGATCCTTGGACCCTCCTTAGTAGGGGTCGAACCCTCTATAACAAGGGTTTGTACCCTCAAAACCCTTGTTTTTGAGGGTGCGGATCCTTAGGGCAACACAATTCAGCCACTTTGGCGGTCGGATGTTTACACGCGGCTGCCAAAGCTGCCACGGTTGACTCGAGCGCCAGCGAGCGAGCCGTCGAGCGTCTTGCCGCTTCGTGAGGTAAGGGATCCTTTGATCCCTCAGACATCCGATTCGAAGGCATCCTCCAAGAGAGGGCCAGCTGAGTGATTGAGTCCCCGAAGCAGCTGCACCGAGCCGGAGCCGGAGCCGCCGAGACCCGAAACCATCCGAGCTGTACAGTTGGGTGTGGTACGACAGAACGCGACACAGCATAGTTGGACAGATGAAGACGCAGTGCACAGGTCTATCTGGGCATGATGTAGGTTCCAAGATTGCTCCTCCACAGTGACAAAGTACTCCAACTTGTGGTTGATATGCTCGAACAGTCGCATATAGTTCTTCGTGTTTTTGACTTGGTGGAGCGTATCTTCCCAGCTTTTGCACTTTCAACTGAAATTCCTTTTATATGTCATGTATATTTATGTATTTATTTATAGGTGTTTGGCTAGGATATCGGAAGGAGCAGAAGCTGGGGCATTCCAAGCTTGGGTAGACATCAATAGATGAGGCACATCGCCCTCATTAGGTGTCAAAGGTGTGGGCTAGCGGAAGGGAACACAAGTCGTTCCTGCAGCAGCACTGCACAGACAGAGAGGCAAAAGAGGGATGTGGCGAAGGCGGTGCCAAACTACCCACTTGGCTTTGCTTAAGGTAAGCTTTCCCTATGGGTAGATCCCCTTCTGGGGAATATGTTATATCTTTTCTAGATTCTGGATTCCTTAAATGGAAGCCATCAGATTGGCCATTCCAAGAGGATTCTTGAAGGGTGGGAAGGTGTTGCCTTGTTACATGACTTTAGCCTGGCAGATGCTATTCTTTGGCCACCAGTGGTTTCATGGGGTTCATCCTGGCCAAACACCTGCATTTTAGTTGAAAGATGCTGAAACTGAAGGGATTTGATGTCCGCCGTCCACCTTTCTGCCAGAGAATTTCAGGCTGCTCATCAACAACTACCCAGGATCCTTGTGCTAACAAAGAATATTATATATATAGAAGATCTGCCAGGATCTTGGGTCTTCCAGAGCTGCCATCATAGATGATCGATGGGAGGTTCATTTCTCGTTGCCATTGGTGATTAACACGGCGGACATCCTGCACCCAAGGTGCATGAAGGTGCCAAATTTGCATCTGTTCCCTTCCGTTGAGATTCCCGGATTCATCGATCAAGGATAATCAAGGTGGGTTGAGGCGAAAGATGTTCCCAAAAGAGGCGCGGAGGTCGAGTCAAATCGATGGAGCTCAATGAATGCTTGTAAGATGTTGTGTTTATATTCTTTAGGCAGGCACTCTTCACATATCCGGTTTGCCGTACTTCAAGGAGGCGAAGTAGTGAACATCTCAATGTGGGAACAAGGCGCATGCACTCGGGTTTGCGCTTCATTTCCAACCATTATATTATATATATATGCAACATGGCAGCAGGGCTACTGTCTCCTGATGTCTCCTTTGCAGGTGGGCAGCATGGCTAAGCTCGCTGTCACTCGCTTACATCACCACAGCAGAACAGGGCCCCTCACCGCCTGCGGCGGGCATCCAGGAGCTGATCCGGAGCGAATCCGCAAGCGGATCCGGAATTGGTTTGGAATCAATGATGGTTGAATTCTTAGAAGCTTGGATTGGTTGGTTCGATTGGTTTCGATTCCAACTGGTTGAATCTTCGAAGTCCTTTTCCAACATTCCCAAGTGTCGAAATTGAACTCAGGTTGGTGCGTCGCTCTGTAAAAGATCATGCAAGCGGTGGTCATTATTTGGAACCGTAATAGGTCTTGATCTATAGTCTGAGCTTTCATTCCTACACTGATATGTCGGGCTACAAGCCAACCGTTTGCAGCCGTTGCAACCTCTCAACGCTTCGAGCCATCTCGTTGCAAGTTTCGGTCCCATGATATTCGTAGCGCGACTCCTGGTGCTAGTTGTACCAGTCTGGAGCTGTGGATCTCTTTGCAATCTCTCAGAGAGCGACGTAGAAGGCTTGGTGCAGATTCATGCCTTGGGCCTACTGGATGACCCTGATTACTCGCGACGTTCGGATCGGTTGCATCGACGCCAGAGTTGCTTGGATACAAAACAAGTCGCTTCATTTTCTGGAATCCCCTTAAGAAGTGGTCATTGGCCAGACACCTTAATCTTTCAGACCTGTTTGTTTTCAACCTATTACTTGGGATGATTGACATATATTGATCAGTACTTTTCAAGCGAGTTGAAACCTCCAACCAGAAGTTTTGTTCGACTTAATCTACTCGTCGAATTGTCTTGCTGATTCTTCCAAACGCACACGTATAAGCAAATTACTCACACAATTTACTACCAGAGCCTCCAAAAGTCGATCAAATGGTAAAACCAGATATTCCAGACATTTCCAGACACTCCATGTATGGCATATATTTACACATATTGGGGCGGTTTGGGGGGTGAATGTAGGCAAATATGCCAGTATGGATGCATCCAATCTGCAGCACCTCCCGTCGCGGTGACCCGCCCTGGAGACGACCGCTGACTTCGGTGCCCGAACGAAGGTCGACAGCATCGACGACAGCATCGGAGGCTTGGAACGACCACCACGACCACGACCATTTCCCCGGATGTGATCAAACTGATGAAGGAATTGGAGGCCTCACGAGGCCAGGACGCTTTTTTCTTCGCATTGGACGGTCACATATTGCTTGTGTAGGGAGAAAACTCCGAATCAGCGACCACGAATCAGCAACCCGGTACCAGCGACCAGTTTTCGCGAAGTATCGACCGGGTACCAGTGGTTCCGAATCAGCGACCAGTCAGACCACGAATCAACGACAAGTGGCTTATAACGCCTGTAGGGGAAGGCGATTTCTGGATGCGGCGCTAGCATCGGCTTGAAGATCTTTTTTCCCCAAAGAGTGTGGACACACTATAGGGGTTCTTACGGTAGTTGTTAAGCACCGGTGTCTAATCAAGGTGTTGCGCGGTTGGGTCTGGCTATTTACAGTACATTCATGCCTCTCGAAATCATCGAAGTGCATTTCGACCGCGCAGGCTCGCAAAATCTGCTTGGGCGCGGCGGGTGCTTGTCGCGACTGCGCTCTCGTTGTGGTCCCGTGCTCATTTTCGGACATGATGGTCACTTTTCGTCGCAGGCCCAAAGTTGACTTTTTGTGACAGGTGCAAGGGATCGGAGCGGCTTTACTTCGAAGTGTAGATTTCGTGGCAGGCTCAGCACTTTGGACATGGTGGTGATCTTCGACACGCTCTGATTTTGTGACAGGCGCAGCCAATCGTGACTTCTCTACATGTGGCTCGTTTTCAGAAACCGTGGCGCAGCACATTGTGGACCTGGAAGTGGAAGTGCAGATTTGGTGGCAGGCACAGCACTTTGTGAACCTCGAAGTGCTGATTTTGTGGCAGGCACAGCACATTGCGAACCTCAAAGTGCAAATTTCGTGGCAGGCGTAGCACTTTGTGAACCTCGAAGTGCAGATTTCGTGGCAGGCGCAGCACTTTGTCACCTCGAAGTGCAGATTTCGCGGCAGGCGCAGCACTTTGTGAACCTCAGAGTGCAGATTTCGTGGCAGGCGCAGCACTTTGTGCCATCAGACAGATGCTCACTCTCACTCTCTCTCTCTCTCTCTTGTAAAATTCAGCAGCTGTTTGGTTGTCGTTTGTTTGTGCACGTCTCTGTATTGTTTTCCTCTGGCAACTGTCCTTAGGCTCAAGGCCTCGATCCAAGGTGCATTGTAGAGCACCGGGCAATTGTACATGAACACTACGATGGAGTAAGTATGCAAAGAACTTGTATCTTGACACCGTCCCTTGGTTTGATTCATTGTTGAATCACACCATCAATACAAACATTGTTGAAACTGTAAGGAACATTATTGCACAAAACAGTTCAATCATTGTAGACAAGTCTGTACATCTTTTCTGCCATTGTCTTTCCAGCGTTGTTGCCCTTCTCATCGTTGTGCTCGTATGGCATTGTCATAGCTGGAAGTCAGCAGCTTGTTGAACCATTGTTCTAGCCCTCCATGTCGTCCATCAGATTGTCTGGGGCCTCAGAAGATTGTCTGGGACGTTTTGTCCCCTTTTCTTCTTCCTCGTCCTCAGATTTCTCCTGGACAATTGTCCTGTCGCGCTCCTTGATGTAGGAGCTATGCTCAGGATGTCCTCGCTGATGCCTCTTGGGAATTGTCGCATGGTAGGTGTCAATCTTCTTGTCCGCCTTGTACACACCCCAAGGCTCCGCTTAGTCTATCTGAGAATAGGATATGTCTTATCCTATCATCAAGATAGTCTCGAGGCTATCATCAAAATAGACTATCCCAAAATAGTCTTTTTATGGTCTATTTTGAACTATTAAATTTTGATGAAAAACAAAAATCTACGCGCTCAGAAAGCAGAAACACATCTTTTCCTGGAGCGCGGTGCGCAGCGGAAGCGTGCAACAGTTCAATTATCGCACACGAATTTGCAGGCAAATTTGCTAACATTCAGTCAGAGCCAGAAGTGCTTGGGCAACCAACTCGCTTCCTTAAGCAGCGGACTAGGCGTTTTGCAAGAAAGTTTGCTTGCCGCCACTTGGACTGCCGCAAATATCGAACGTGTTTCTCGAGCTTGTGGAGTGGCAGCCTCATGGCCAACATTCTTTGCAGCCGCATTGGAGAGATTTTCTTCTGCTTTGCCTTCATGCATGGGAAAGGTTGCGGCATCATCATGTAAAAGGTTCTAGGCAACTGCACCTCGGGCCAAAAAATCCTTCAGAAAGGACCGATAGACGATGGAAGGTAAAGAAGTGAAACAGAAATCAAACTCAGAAAGGAAAAACCTCAGAAAGGAAATCAAAAAATGAAAACTCTCAGAAAGGAAATGGAAACCTTCACAAACTCTCATGGTTTGCGATCAAGGTTCAGCGAAATCGCGCTTCTTTTTTCGCGTCGAATTTGTCTATACTGCTCGTGCACCGAATTATCTCCCAGAAAAGAAAGGAAACTTTCTCAGAAAGGGCTCTCACCTGGCTGACGTTGCAAGGCATCCTCAAACATGGCGTTTCAAAGCCCCTAGGTATACCTCTGCCTCATTCATGGACAGTCGACTCGTCGTCTTCATCGGCCAAATGAACACCTCTTTGAAGCAGCTCTTGGCGGATCTTCCTTGCCAGCACATGCGCCTTGCGTTTGTGCGGCGGGGCGTGGCTCATGAACCGGTACTTGTCGAGCAAGGAAGGCGAGGACATCGTTTTGAGCATCTGCTGTTGCTTGCAAAGGGCAAAGGCGGCTGAAACCATGAGTTTCAAGAAAACTGCTACAAACTCTGGGCCAAGAGCTATAAAACAATGAAAGTCACCGCAAAGGGAAAAGAAAGGCACCAAGGAAATCTCAGAAAAGCGTGTCATGAGGAACGAACTTGAAGAATTATATATTCAAAGAAAGGGAGAGGGAAAGGAAAAGGGACGGGAGAACATCGAAAAAAGACCTGAAAACTCTCCGAAAGGAAATGGAAACCCTCACAACTCTCAGAAATGAAATCTAAAACACCTGAAAACTTTCAGAAAGGAAATCGCGCACAACCGTCACACAGCTCCTCGCGCTCGCACGTTTGACCGCGCACATGCAAGTGAAAAGGTTGAGCTGCTGCTCATACAACAGCTGTACACATGATAAGGCCTTTGCCGTGCTCGCCAAGAGCTGTTTCGTCACCTGAAAATCGCCGTGGTCCGAAATCTTCAACTCTTCAATAAAGGAGACTGTTGGCAAACCCAACAGCCTCCGCGTGCGCACGCTTCGCGGCCGCACGGCCGACTCTTTTGTCGACCTTGTGATATACTCGAGATGCGAAGTTTTTGGGTGAGATAGTCAACCCGTTGGCCACGTCTTGGTCATACCAAGCTTTCAATGGGCATTTCCCATTTGTGGAAAGCTTCTTCCACCAAGGTCCGCATTCAGATCCCACTCGAGAAGAACCTTTGAGTCTTTTCGCTTGTGGGTTCATTTTTGGACCCTTGCTCATTTCTGTCGGGCTCCTGTCGTCTTTGTAGGGTAAAGGAGTGTCCACTTCGGTGACCTGCACCATCGCCTGCAAAGCCATGGACTCAGCTCGGTCCAAGAAGCTATCTTTAGTGAGGAAGTACTCCACAAAGTCAACACCATCCATGGGGAAGAAACATGGAAACACGTCATCCCAGCTACCTGAATCTTGGTCTGCCGGTTCGGTCGCAGAAGAGGTTTTTGTCACTTCTGCACTGTGCGAAGGTACTGTGTGTGGAGGCGGCGGCGCACGCGCAGACTTCTGTGGCTCAGGCACAGGCGCAGACTTATGAGGTTCAGCTGGTTCAGCTGCTTCAAAGGTAGGGACAATGCAGCGGCATAGCTTCACAAATACATTGTACTGGTTCACATTGAGCTTCTTCTTCAGTTGCATCCAACAGTCCATGTTGGTGGCGACGCATCTGATTTTGGCAGCCAACTGCCGGATTTTCTGCAAAAAGAAAGCCGAAGCCATCTCAAAGTCAGTACCAGCAGCAAAAGTGAAAGGGTCCAAGGAATGCTCAGCCTTCATAGCCTCAGA